TGATATGTCTAGAAAGGATCAACAGGACCTTTCATTTCTTGGTCTGTAGGTATGGTAACAACACATCTCACTTGTCTCTGGGTGGTTTGGGAGAATCAATGGACCAAATTTGTAGAATTCCTAATTATTGAGAAAGAGGGAGTAAAAGTTAGAGAGAGTCAGAAATATGCAGGAGAACATCACCAATTTGGATTCATTGTGGGAAGTCCATCATGGATTAGTAAAACATCTAAATTAAAAGATCTTTGAAAAACAAATTTAATTTCTTTTAAGAAGTCCAACAAAATGTTGCCACATAGAGGACTTTACAAATCCCTGAACTAAAAATTAGGCCAGAATAATTTGTAACAAGATAGTCATGGTAGCTAGATTAGTCCTTCAAAGATAATTCAAAACAGTTTATCCATATATGATTACTTCCTCCTGCATTCTGATTTATATAACGTACTTAGCAAGTTCTCTTTTCAAAGATAAGCTTAATCTCAGCCCCTGAAGTGTTACATTCTGAATTAGTAGGGTATTTTGTATGAGCTTTACTTGCTAATTTTTAAAAGAGCAAATATTACCAAAGGTGCCCAATTTACTGATAGAGGGACTAGAAAAATCTGGATTTGAATCAAGATATCTTAAAGGTGTAGACTGATTTTTCACAACAGATAAGTTGTATTTATATTCATAGGATTTTAGAGTTGGAAGGTATATAAGAAATCATCTAGTCCAAAGTCCTCACTTTGCAGATGAAGAAACAGAACCAGAGAGGTTTTAAGATCACAGATTTAGAGCTAAAAGGACTATAGAGTCCATCTTGTCCAACAACTTTTTTGTGCACATGATCAGATTGAGGTTCAGAGAGGCTAAGTGATCAAGGTTCACAGATCTGGAATGCAAACCCAGGTCCTATTACTCAAAACCTGCAAAAACCTATTACTCAAAAACTTTCACTACTGTACCATGCTGATTCTCATCAGTTTCCATAGTCACTCTATTGCTTTTTGTAAATGATATTAACAGTAATTTTCACATGATTCTTCAGATTGTAAAAAAGCAGTTACTAACTGCTCCTGCTCATAGTAAACTTCATTGACCTAAGTTTCTGTATTCATACAGTTTTCCCCCTTCTTAGTCCCTGTTCAATTTGTAGCTGGTCAATTTTCTAAAAAGTGCAGTAATTGAAGTACTTTTAAATTCATTTAGTGTCCTGATATATACAGATATTGTAACTGCTAACAGCAAGTGAAGATGGCTAAAGTCCTACATTGGGTCATATAACTATGAATGTTATATGTCAGAATAGTATTTCTCAACTGTTATGCTATAACCCTTCAGTGCATTTCAAAGCATTTAATGGTGTTTCAAGGCAAACCAGGCATTCTTTATAGCTCTGGCTCTAATTCCCCACTGCATGGATTGTAATGTGACATCCTGAAATCCATACAGCAATTTAATGGTAGAGCTAGGACAAAAGCTAAGATCTCCTGACTCTCAGTCCAGTCCTCTTTCTACTAAACCAAATTTTAATAAATTAAGTCAATATTCTACCAATTCAATTAAATAAATGTTGGGTGAATTGAATTTGCTGGATATTTTAAGTATACTGGTAGGGTTTATTTTTAAAATGAATCTCACTATGAAAAGGTATTATAAAATCAGCAATCATTTTACAAAAAGGAATAATGCTCCCTAATTCATTTATGTGTGCATCTGTGTGTGTATTTGTGTAAATCTGGATTTTCAAACATCAGATTTCACCCACAACTATGAAATTAATGAAACTAAAAGACTGTAAAATGATTTCAGAACCATGGACAGAAACAAATCTCTTTACTCAGGAGAACTAAAGCAAAAGTGAAATAAGTTAAAGCTATTTTAAAGAGTAGGTGCTACATAACTGCTGGAAGCCAACACGAAGGGGCAGAAGGCGAATACTGGAAGGGCTCTTTATGTATTGCTGCCATGAAAATTAGATCTGTATCATTTTAACTACTGTCGCCTAAACTTGTCTGCTCTTGGTGGTTTTTAGCCAATAGGTAAGTTGCCTTATAGTAAAGGATCTTGGAATATGAGGATAAAAGCTATGGTCTACCATGAATTAGAGGATTTTGTTATTCTAAATATCAAACATTGTTGATGCATTGTAGGTACTGACCTGGTCGTCAAGAAAACCATTATTATATCTGCCAGGCTTAGCTCTCTAAGCTCTTAAGCTCTCACTGGACCAATAGATTAAAATATTGGGAAAAATAAGATACTATCAGACTTATCACAAGTAATTCTAGAATACCAGTGAGAAAGAAAATTTGAGATGTTATTTTAGTTTGTCTTCAAATAGAACTAAAAGGAAATCATGCCACAGAGATGAGAACCCATATCATTAAAAAAAAATTCTGTAAAGAAGGACATACCTTATCTTCCCATGGGAAGCAATTCAAATATTTAGTAAACATCAGGGTTGATCTTTTTTTTAAATTATAGCTATCCTCCTTCATCAGTGTCCCATTCTGACACCTCATTTGGAGTTATGGCAGTAACCATGGGTTCTTAAAGATTGGGTTCCTCTTTGGCCCAACCTTGCTCAGTTCTTCAGTAGTGGCCTCTACTACCCAGCATAGATCTTGAATTGCTCTGGGCATTTGTCTCCCCTCCTCCATCAATGGGATATACTGTGATCTCAACCCCACACATATGCAAGGTCTCTTCTCTCCCTTCAAAAATTATCTTAAAACATTAATTGAAAAATGCCATTTATCTTGTTCATGCCAGATACTTTTTATAGTGCTTGTCATGGGTACCAGAATTGCCAGTTATGGCTCTGATGGTGAAAGAGTTATCAATTTTTAATGTAGGACCAGTCTTTCTAAGAGTGGTAAAGTTTATCTTCAGAAAGCTGGATCTCAGGTAAGAAGTTTTGTTGTTGTTGTTGTTTTACTATGTCAGCCTATGAAACATAGAAGGGTTGCAGTCTTCATCAGTGAAGAAAGTATCTACACTATTGAAATCATGACTCTTTCAAAGTATAAAAGTATATCTAACTGTGATCCCTAGATGCTATCATTTAAGCCTATTTCCTCATGTCTCATATGCATGGAGAATATGATGGAGAATATTCAATGACCATTCTGTAGGTAACAATACTCCATTAACATGGTGATTTTAACATCAGAATGTTGATGATGAGTTTGTTTCCCCTGCAGTTTCATTCTCCTTTTAATCAGAGAATTTCTTTCCTCTATCTTTCCTGGCATGACAGTGACACATCCTCCAATAAACCCAGGAAATTCACAGTTCTATTTATCTCAGTAGACACAAGCCTCCTAACCACCTTGTTGTGTCTGGCAAATACAAGGGATTAATTGCATATTGCCATAATGGCTGAGCCATCACATTTAGCTGAGTGCACTAATAAAAGGATTATTATTTAACAGTTTGGCTTCCATAAACTGCCTTTTATCTTGCTTTCCTGGATTGGTAGGAAAATTAGAAAGCTAAACCCAAACCTATAAGCTTTACTCTGAAGTTATAACACAACTTTTCAATAATTTTCTTCCATATGTTTGTATTGTAATTTTTATTCCCCAAATTTATTCCCCAAGATTGAGACTAGTTATGTTAGTATGAATGGCCATTTGAGTGGAACAATGTGGAGCCTGGAAGATAAGTAGCCAGGATTTCTGGGCACAATCAATGTTCTATTCTCTAGCATGGTCAGGTAATGGAGCATCCTAATTCATCCAGTCTTGTGGTTAAAAGAAAGTGATCCTATGTATCATATATGAATCACCTATAATTGAAGGATTAGAAGATCATAAAATATATTAAGCACTAAGATTATTAACTGAACATAATTCTCTTTGGTGATTGAGAATTTTGCAAAGCCTCAGGGTTATTATGTGACTTAGAACTATAAGGGGCCTTAGAAACCATCTAGTGCAAGCTCTTTTATTTTATAGGTAAAAAAACTGAGGCCACAGAGAAGGGAGTCACATGGGAAGTAAATAGCAGGATGAGGATTTGAACTGCAAAGCTACTTTGACGACATCATTCTGTCTTTCATCATTATGATCATCATGCATTGTTGTATCATAATCATTATATTAACATATGGCTTTACACGTACAGGAGAGATTATTGATAGAGAAATAATGGACTTTTCTGTAACAGAGTTGACTGGTTTTATTTTCTATGCTTACAAGAAGAATGGTGTCTCTTCCCTTCAAATGTATTCCAAAGAAACAAAAATGTATCTTTTGGTCACAGAGTAGATGCTACTCATGCTTCCTTCACATAAAACTAGTGTAATGCATACGGTGAGACAGGGCTCTCTTCCTCTTGATATTGCCTTTAGTTTTCTTATATTTGTGTACATATTACATCCCTCAGGTAGAATTTACATTCCTTGATGGCAAGAAATTATCATAGATCATAGATCTGGAGGTGGAAGGCATTTTAGAGGTCTACTAGTCAAACTCCCTCATTTCAGAGAAGGGAAAATTGAGGCAAAAAGACTTCACCAATGTCACACAGATAGCAAGTGGTAGGGCTGGGATTTGAACCAAGGTCCTCTGAATCTGAATCTAGTTCTCTTTCCACTATATCATACCTTCTCCATGACTTCTTGGTTGTGACTTTGTATCCTCAGTCAGTAAGCATTTATTAAGCACCACTATGTGTCACGTACTTTGTTAAGTGTACCTTGTACAGTACCTTGGATGTAGCAAATTAATAATGGATGTCTATTGTATTGAATAGGTAAAAGGCACAATTCAGATTTATCATTTTAGCTTTTCAGTTGCTTACATAAGTACTCCCAATAGCCACAAACATGAAAAACAAAGTGTGCACCAGGTCCGAATTTATTATTCATACAAACCAGTTTGCCAAACACAATATAGTATTTACTTAAGAAAATATGAACATTTACAATTTAGATATACTTCTTATTCTTAGACCTGGAATACCTAAAATGCAATTTAACTTACTTAGTCAGTTTAGACGTTCCCAACTGGCCCCTTAGTCACTTTTCTCAAGCACGTTACTGTAATAGACATTCAATCCTCCGTAAATTGATTTTTCTTTATCATCTTCTCTTTCTTCCTCTCTCTTCCATTCCTTGTCCCTCTAAGGCATTCTAGTTCCCAAGTGGTTTAATGAAAATACAGTATGTGCTTGTTTAACTTTACTGTATGCCCACAGGAGGTCCAAATCATATAGCAAGATTTTGGCTCATTAGCAGTCTTTCCAAGGAGCCTCACAGACCAAAAGTTAGGACACAACTCATGGACAGTGGCTCCAATATGGCAGATTTCTTTAGTCAAGGCTTTGTTTCCCAAACCAGCCTAAAATAAAAGTCTTCAGAGCATCTATTTTCATTTATTTATTTATTTTCATCACTATTAATAATAAGTTAAAGCCCTCGATTTCTCTGAAGCAAAACTGTTCAAGAGACACATAAGAGACACAAAAGAGACACATAATGAAATTGCTCAAGAGACACACAGAGACATTCATGTGAATTCTAACCAGAAGAGAGTAAGGATTTGGTGGAATGGCTTAAAAAATCAGATCTCTTTCATATATTACTTATAAAAATATAAAATATAATCCAAAGGAAAATCAATGACACCACTAGTCGATAGAGTCTCTATTGTTAAGAAAAGTAATAAATTGAAGCACGTGGAAAAACATTCTTTATTCTCAGTCTTAAAAAAAACTTAACAAACCTCAACATTCAAGTTTATATGTGATTAGTATAGAACAATGGAATTCATATAAATATTGTCTTCCATGATAAATACATTCACAAAAATGAATCACTTAATCTTTATAGATATTGCACTTGAACTCATTCACGTAAAACTTAAACTAGCATTCCTTGTCACTAAGCATTTAAAAAATAAATAGACCTATTATGTATTGATACACTTTGGTAAATATAAATCCACAAGAAAGCACTCATTTAAGGAGTTAATAGAGAACAGGTAGGGCCATGAAGACTGAAACAGTAAAATATAGCCACTTCTTGGAATTTGGGCTGCCCAGGGGAGTCATGACTAACTGCAATAGAGTGGTCTTTTCCCATTCATCTATTGCAAGTCCTGTTCAAATGGATACACATACACACTCAACTTTGGGACCCAAATAAAGTTAAAACAGATCACTAAGGTAATTTGTTCTAGTGAGAACCTTATGAGATTCTCAAGGAAACAAGGGCCGTTATTGTAAAAGCATACCATTTTGAATTTTCAGAATCATTTTGGAAGGATCACCTAAAATTCTTCTAAAACAGGATGATTTTTCAGCCCTATAACTTCAGGCAGAGTGTGGTGAGCTATTGAAAAATAACTTTCTTGAATGGATTTCCTTCCTTAAAATGGAGAATTGGATGCATATGAACTCAAATCATTTGGGTGTGTATGTGTATATGTTTGTAGGATATCACAGGGAAAACCTGATTCATTGACACTCTGTATTGTGTTTGTTGGGAGTATGGAAGGAAATAGGTTATCATCATTATAAACGTCCAGCTATAAATCAGAACTAACCCTACTGGATAATGGGAGTCTGATATGGAGATGCAGGTATGCTTCCCTGTTATGTTAACAGCTTCTGTTTGGGAAACGCTTTGGGAAAGCTGATTGTACATATAAATTGTTGGGGAGAGTTGATTTTGTCCTTGTTTAAAACTTGGAGAACTCTCATAACTGAACCCGAAATATTTGGCCCATTTTTACCTCACCTCAAAAAAAAAAAGCAGATCAGAATGTCTGTACAAGAAGAAGTGTGGATCTTGTTTTCATTGATGCATGGCTTCCATAAAAAGCAAGCTTGAAATGCTATGCTTAAAAGGTTTATTTGGATTGTTGAAGAAAAAAACCAACATGACGACAAGCCTTTTAGATGAAAAACATTAGAGTGCTGTGTCCATGTATAGTTCCACAAACTCATGAGCCTCTGGAAAATCTAATGAAAACTAATGGCAATAATTTGCTGCTGTTGTTGTTATTTTGGGCTCAAGAAATCTTCCTCTTCTTTTACTTCCCAGAAGATCCTTTGTATTGGGTAAAATGAAAAAAATCTATACATAAGGTTAGTTTGTGGGGATGCTTCTTGGTTTCCCAGGAAATATGAACAGAAAGTATTTTGTTCTAGAGATTTTTCCAAGAGAGCCTATCAAGAGTGAGAAGGACAGGTAAAGATTCTTCTATTTCCCAAAGTGTCATCTTTAGCACCAGCGACTGATGAATGGGGAAATACGTCAAGTCAAAAACCCCTTTTTCGGTAAGTGCACCAAATGCAAACACCTTGAAAAAATGCAGAGACATTCAATCTTAGGAGCTAGGAATAGCATGATGAAGAGATTACCTTAGCTCATTGAATAAAGAATATAGTATCAGTCAAGCACTACTGGGTTTTGGGTGTATTGAAAAAATGAGTTATTTCCAGTGACCACATAGAGTGCTGAGACTTGACCACATACTATTTTTTATGCCATTGGTCCATACAGACCCAAGAGCAAAGTACTCTTGCCCTCCATAAAGGTATCAAACTGGCAGGGATTTTCGCTCTTAACATGACTTGCCAAAAAAAACCAAAACAAAATTATGCTTCTTTTCCTTTTCTACCAGACCAGCATTCATTCTACCAGTTCGATAGTCTTTTACGCTATAGAGACAAGAAATCTGATTACCACTCTTGAGAAGAGAAGTTTCAGCAAGTATAATGTGAAGATCTCAGAGCCCCATTGAATGGAGCGGAAGTGAAAATAGCAACCTGGTCATGGGGATACTTTTATAGGCTTCCCATTTTTATCATATTGATAAACCAGCATTTTGATACAGTGGGAATTGGCTGGTGAAATCCAGGGACTACTTGTTATTGAGAAGTTATGATTAGTATAGAACTGGACAGGCTGCTTTTGACACTTAAAGAAAGCTTTCAGTGTTCCAGCTGCCATGGTACGGAATCGCTTACTGATAAAACAATAGAGGAAGAAATTGATTGCAGTGTTTAACAAGGCCAGCATATTGGCAATGTCTGATATAATATGCACCAGCCAGCTATTGTGGATAGGTGACACATAAAGATGATATAGGATCATTATGATTCTGGGTGCCCAAAGTGTGGCAAAAATGGAAGTGATGGTGAACAGGATAGCTGTGGTTTTTCCTGTGGAATAGCCACGGAGTCGGAAATTGCTTTTTTGCCTAAGCTTATATACAATGATAGAATTTAAGATGAAAAAAATGGAGCAGGGCACCAGGTACACGGTGAAACAATGAACCCAGATGAGGACATGGTGCATAGAAGTGCTGATATAGTCTTCAATCCATATATTGGGCCACCAGTAATATGGGATGCTGGTCAGAAAGCAGGTAATATAGACACTTACGATGACTTTCCGAGTGCGAGCTGGATAGGAAACAGTGTGGTATTTGAGTGGATGGCAGACTGCAATATACCTGTCAATAGTTAATGGAACAGTAATCCAAATGGAGGTGTGGATGGAAGAAAATTCCAGAACTTCTATGATTTTGTCTGGGACATGAGGCATCTGTTTGTTTAAGATAAAATCTTCCAGCAAAAAATCTACAAACACAATGAAGAAGAGGACCATGATGTCAGCAGCAGCAAGGGCTAAGAGATAGTTATAGGATGACTTCTGTCTACGTGCCACTAGCTGGGACAGGATGATCACAGTTAGGATGTTAGCTGCAGAGAAAAGAGAAATTAATACTGTTTAGAAGTGCATATGACTTATTGGTTAACATCAATCCCCAAGCCCACATCTCATGGGTTTATGCGGTGGCAATCATGCAAAGTGGAGACAAAAGGCCCAAATTCTTTTAATGGGTAGTGTGCACTTTACTATTATATTAGACAACCATCATTTAAATGGGTCCTGGCAGGATGCATGGAGATTGACTGGTTGAACCCTTGAGACTTTTCTCCTCCATTAGACTGTGAGTTCCTTAAGGGCAGGGAAAGTCTTTTGCCTTTTTTTGCATTCCTGTCACTTAGAGTATCTGACATATAGTAGGTGCTTAATAAATGTCTATTGATTTATTGATTTCTGATTGGGGATTCTAGACTTAAGATTCTAAGAGAATGATTTTCAGGTTCATTTTCAATTCCTCTTCCTCCTTTTGTATCAGTTTCTTTAGTAATGGGCTATCTTTATTCAGAAGATCTATAGATTCTTTGGAAATAGTTCACTGAATAACTCTGGGTAAATTTATCTTTTCGAGCCTCAGTTTTCTCCTCTCTGAAATGAGAAAGTTGGACTAAATGATATCTTTTTTTGAAGATTTTTGTTGATCTATTTTATTTTTATATCTCTTACGTTTCCCAATATTTCCCTTTTCTCTCCCTCCCAGATAGCTACCCGTTATGACAAAGAAAGGGGAGTAGGAAAACAACAGTTCAGCAAAACTAAACAAGATATCAATGAAGTTTGACTTTATATGCAGAGTCTACCATTCATAGTCCCTTCCCTCTCCATTCCTCATCCTCTCATCAGTAAGAAAGAGAACTGCATTTTCATATTTTTTTCTGCTGGGACCAAACTTGGTAATTATAATTAATTTTTTTTTAGAATTCTGAACTTGAGCAACAAAAAAGTACATTTCCGTACACCTAGCATACTACCAAAAGAGGAAAGTATATTAAAGCTTGAATCACTATTTCGCTTGGCTATCTTTTGGAAAAAAAACTAACCACTATAATAATTCCATGTTATTTTCAAATTGTTCTGTTTGTTGTATTTCCTTCTGAACTTACTTCTTTCCTGTGTATTAAGAAATGTTTCACTGGCCTACCTTTTGGGCATTACCAAAATGTAAAAAAAAAAAAAATCATTTGAATGAGTAAGCCTAATTAAATGAAAAAGAAAAAGTGGTCATATGCAAAGATATAAATTTCTTTTTGAATCTTGAGTTCATCATCATTTTTCTCAGGAGATGGGTAACATGCTTCATTGTAATTCTTCTGGAGATATGGTTGGTTATTGCATTGAAAGGAGTTCTGATATCTTTCAAAGTTACTTATTTTTATAATATTATTGTTTTTGTTCTGATTTCTCTCACTTCTCACTGCATCAGTTCATATTACATAAAATCCTTTACAATTGTAATTTTTATCATTTCTTGTGGTGTTGTATTATTTCATTGCATCCATATACCAAAATTTTAAAGCCATTCCCTAAATGATGGGCAGTCCCTTAGATTCTAGTTCTTCATGCTTTTTGCTTTTTCTTATTTAAAATCCCTTTCAGTATCATGGAATTCGTTTTGCTTGTAACTATTTCTTCCCCAGCATTATCCTCCCTTTTAACCCTTCCCCCCCCCATTATGACATGTTTCTTTGTTGTATTTGAGGTACTTCTACATTAAACTTTTTTTTGCATATGTATGTGTTCAATTTTCCTTTGTCTATTTCCAACAAGTGATGCTCATTTGATGTTCATTTCCTCCTACCCCTTCCTCAATGCTTGTATACCTTTTCGCATGCACTCCAATGATAAGAAATAGCAAGTTCTACTCACATCTTCTTCCTTTCTATGTAAATGAATTCCTTTTACTCTCCTTTTTCAAATACTCTATAAATGCTAGCTATTATTTTACTAAATTTTTATTTTTTTAATATAAATTTATTTATTTTTAGTTTTCAACATTTACTTACACAAGATTTTGAGTTCCAAATTTTCACCCCATCTTGCCCCTCCCCCACCCCAAGATGGCATGAATTCTGAATACTCCTTCCACTAGTCTGCCCTCTCTTCTATCTCTCCCCCAGTTCTCTTATCCGTTCCCCCTTCTGTTTTCCTGTAGGGCAGGATAGATTTCTGTACCCCATTTCCTGTATTTCTTACTTCCCAGTTGCATGTGAAAACATTTTTTTTAAACATGTGTTTTTAAAACTTTGGGTTCCAAATTTTCTCCCTTCCTCCCTCCCCACCCACCCTCATTGAAAAGGCAAGCAACTTAATATAGGTTATACATGTGCAGTTATGCAAAACACTTCCATAGTAGACATGTAAAAAACAAAGTATATTTCCTTTCATCCTATCCTGCCTTCCCTCCCCCCACCCCGTTTATTCTATTCTTCCTTTTGACCCTGTCCCTCCTCAGAAGTATTTACTTCTGATTACCCCCTTTCCCAATCTGGCCTCCTCTCCATCATTCCCCTGGTCTTTTGTCCCTTTCTCTCCCTATTTTCCTGTAGGGTAAGACAGATTTCCATACCCAAGTGTACGTTGAGTGTGTATGTTATTCCCTCCTTAAGCCAAATCCTATGAGAATAAGATTCACTCATTCCCTCTTACCTTCCCTTGTTTCCCCTCCACTGTAAGAGCCTTTTCTTTTCTGCTTTTTTTCTGAGATAATTTACCCCATTCTACCTTTTCCTTTCTTCTTCTCCTAATGCAATCCTCTCTCATCCCTTAAGTTTTATTCTCCAGATATCACCTCTTCATTTTTAACTCACTTTGTGCCCTCTATCTATCAATCTAGCTAGACATATAATTTTTTCCCTCCAACTACCCCAATACTGACAAAGGTCTCATGAGTTACAAATATCATCTTTCCATGCAGGAATGTAAACAGTTCAAACTTAATAAGTCTCTTATGATTTCTCTTTCCTGTTTACCTCTTCATGTTCCACTTGAGTCCTGTATTTGAAAGTCAAATTTTCTATTCAGCTCTGGTCTTTTCATCAAGAGTGCTTGAAAGTCCTCTATTTCACTGAATGACCATTTTTCCCCTGAAGGATTATACTCAATTTTGCTGGGCAGGTGATTCTTGGTTGTAATCCTATCTCCTTTGCCCTCTGGAATATTATATTCCATGCCCTGAGGTCCTTTAATATAGAAGCTGCTAAATCTTGTGTTTTCCTGATTGTGTTTCCACATACTTATTTTTTTCTGGCTGCTTGTAATATTTTCTCCTTGACTTGGGAATTCTGGAGTTTGGCTACAATATTCCTAGGAGTTTTCCTTTGGGGATCTGGTTCAGGAGGAGGTCGGTGGATTCTTTCAATTTCTATTTTGCCCTCTGGTTCTAAGATATATCAGGGCAGTTTTCCTTGATAATTTCTTGAAAGATGATGTCTAGGCTCTTTTTTTGATCATGGCTTTCAGATAGTCCAATAATTTTAAAATTCTCTCTCCTGGATCTATTTTCCAGGTCAGTTGTTTTTCCAATGAGATATTTCACACTGCTTTCTAATTTTTCCATTCTTTTGGATTTGTTTTACAGTGTCTTGATTTCTCATAAAGTTACTAGCTTCCAATCACTGTATTCTAATTTTTAAGGAAAGTATTTTCTTCAGTAAGCTTTTGGACTTCCTTTTCCATTTGGCCAATTTTGCTTTTTAGGGCAGTCTTCTCCTCATTGGCTTTTTGGACCTCTTTTGCCATGTAGGTTAGGCTATTTTTTAAGGTATTATTTTCTTCAGTATTTTTTTGGGTCTCCTTTAGCAAGCTGTTGACTTGTTTTTCATGATTTTCTTGCATCACTCTCTTTTCTCTTCCCAGTTTTTCCTCTACTTCCCTTACTTGCTTCTCAAAATCCCTTTTGAGCTCTTCCAAGGCCTGGGACTGATTCATATTTTTCTTGGAGGCTTTGGATGTAGGAGCTTTGACTTTGTTGTCTTCCTCTGGTTGTATGTGTTGGTCTTCTTTGTCACTAAAGTAAGATAATATAGTCTGACTCTTTTTGTGCTGCTTGCTTATGATCCCGGCCAATTACTTGAGTTTTAAACTCCTTGTTAAGGCAAGAGTCTGCTTCCAATGTGGAGAATGTATTGTCCCAAGCTTCAGGGGTTTGTATAGCTGTTTTCAGAGATACTTGTAGGGACTTGTAAATTTTCAGTTCTTCCAAGGTGGTATGAGAAGGGGTGAGATGTTTACTCTTTTCCTGGCCTGTGCTCTGGTGTATGAGTAACCACAAGCAGTCTTTTCTGTCTTGGAACTGTGAGGAGAATTTCTTCTTCACAGCCACTACAAGCTCCACCATGGCAGCGCTTCTCCTTGCCCCACGACTGCCACCCAGAACTGTGACCCAGATCCAAGCACGGGCAAAGCAAGAGATTCCTGCCTCAGCACTGGCAAAGAGATCCCTGCAATCCCCCTCTAATCAGCCACCTGATTTCCCCTCAGTCTGTGGGCCAGAAGCCGAGGAGGCAGCTGCTATCCTGGGCTGCGCTTGGGACTTTTGGCTGGGGTCTAGCTTCTCTCTCTCTCACCGCAGAAACAGACTTTTCCCACTGACCTTCTAAGTTGTCTTTGGTGTTCGTGGGTTGAGAAGTCTGGAAACTGCCACAGCTGCCCAGGATTCAGTCCTCTGAGGCCTGTTCCAGGTTGGTTGCAGCCTGTTTGCCCATGCTGCACTGCAATCCTCTACCTGCCTGGCACGATATACCTTTCTGATCAATGATCCAGGTTGTCTTGGGCTGGAAATTTGCTTCACTCTGTCTTTTTGTGGGTTCTGCTGCTTTAGAATTTGTTTAGAGCCATTTTTTTTTTACAGATATTTGGAGGGGTTTGGGGGAGAGCTCAAGCAAGTCACTGCTTTCACCCCGCCATCTTGGCTCTGGCTCCCAATGCTAGCGATTATTACTACTGCTAGTAGTCATCATTTATATAGGCTTTAATGTTTGTAAAGCACTTTGCAAATATTTTCTCCTTTATCTTTACAAAAACCCTGTTTTACAGA